GAATCATCGCTGGTACCTGTATTTGGTCGACGGTCGTTTGTGGATGACATTTGCTTCGGTGGCGAGGATTTCGACAGCTGCCTAGCGACGCTGGACCGATTGCTAGCAAGATTTGCACAGTGTCGGATCAGCATTAGCTTCACCAAGAGCATCTTTTGCCAGCCCAAGGTGGACTTTCTGTCGCATAAAATTTCGCCAGAAGGTATCAGAGCTGACCCCAAGAATCTTGCGGCCATCACCGAGCTTTCGTTTCCAACGAGCAAGAAGGGCATGCAGTCGTTTCTTGGAGCGGTTAATTACTACAGCCGCTTCATTCAAGACTTCGCGGTCTACGGTGCGGCGCTGTACCAGCTCAAGGATGAAGACTTTGTATTTGAAGGTGGCCTTTCTGTGGCACGTCGTTCCTTCAAAAAATTGAAGACGAGTGTTTCACATTCACCCATCCTCAGGCACTTCGATCGGTCGAAAGAAGTTCACGTCATGCTCTTTGCGAATGAATGGGCGTTGAGCACTACGCTAATGCTAGAACATGAAGGCAAGTTACACCCCGTACGGTTCCTCGGTCGGGTGCTCAAGGAGACCGAGAGGAACTACCATCCTGCTGAGAAGGAAGTTTTGGCGTTACTTCTGCTGTTGAAGATCTGTTACGTCCAGCTGGCAGGAAAGACGCTACATGTCTATACACGATTCTTGACGTTAGAGTGGGTGCATAAGTCGAAGTCTCTCTTCGGACGCGCGGTCCAGCTCGCAGTGCTGCTATCGCAGTGGCACCTTAAGGTGCAGCGCGTGAAGGAGAAGGATGTCGCCTTTGCGCAGCTACTGCAGTCAAGCATCACGAGCTTCGTTGACCTGGAGGACTCGCTCGCGCCGGTGGCACCTCCAAACAAGGGTTCCCCGACTGTTCGAATGGACCCCGCGTTGCTGTACGCCAGGCTTTCCCGTAATTACAGCGGATTCGTCATGTCTTTTGACGGATCAGCGAAGACAGAGAAGTACGGTGGCTACGGGAGTTGTTCATGGGTGCTGTGGAGCCTTCCTGAGTGGAAGGTAGTGATTGCTGCAAACGCTTACCTCTCGGCCACCACGGTGAATGAGGCAGAGTACACAGGTATGATAAACGGTGTCAAGGCTGCTATTGCGCACGGTGCCGAGGATTTAGTCATCGTTGGGGACTTAAGGCTCGCGATTCAACAATCACTATCCACGAAGGGATCCAAGTGGTATGACGTCAGAAGAGGACCTAACACAGGAGCTGGATGA